TTTTTTTGAAACAGAGTCACCTAGGCTGACAGAGTCTCCCTGAAGTGCAGTGGTGCGATCTCAGCTCATTGCAACTTTTGCCTCCCAGGTTCAAGCAATTCTCATGTCTCAGCCTCCTGAGTAGTTGGGATTACAGGTACACACCACCACGCCTGGCTAATGTTTTTGTATTTTTAGTAGAGACATGGTTTTGGTCTCACCATGTTGGCCAGGCTGGTCTTGAACTCCTGACCTCAGGCGATCTCACCTCAGCCTCCCAAAGTGCTGGGATTACAGGGGTGAGCCACTGTGCCTGGCCCTTCCTTTGCCCATTTTTGAATCAGAATATTTGATTTTTGTTGTTGTTGAGTTTTAGGAATCCTCTAATCTCAATATTAATCCTTTATCAGACACGTGATTTGCAAATATTTTCATTCTGCAGGCTGCCTTTCTACTCTGTTGATACTGTCTTTTTTTATTTTTTAAATTTCTGAAAACAGACGATATTGTCTTTTTTTTTTTTAAAGACAGAGGCTCAGACACCCAGGTTGAAGTGCGCTAGTGTGATCTTGGCTCATTGTAACCTCTACCTCCCAGGTTCAAGCAATATTCTCTGCCTCCCAGCTTCAAGCAATTTCCCTGCCTCAGCCTCCCAAGTAGCTGGGATTATAGGCGTGCACCACCACACCCGGGTAATTTTGTATTTTTAGTAGAGATCGGGTTTCACCATGTTGGCCAGGCTGGTCTTGAACTCCTGACCTCAGGTGATCTGCCCACCTCAGCCTCCCAAAGTGCTGGGATTATAGATTTGAGCCACCATGCCCAGCTCTTTTTCTTTTTTGAGACTGGGTCTGTCTTTTTTGCTCTGTCACCCAGGCTGTAGTGCAGTGGTGCGATCACAGCTCACTGCAGCCTCAATTGCTTGGACTCAAGTGGTTCTCCCACCTCAGGCTCACCAGTTGCTGAGACTAAAAGCACATGCCACCACACCTGGGTAATTTTTTAAAATTATATTTAGAGATGAGGTTTTGCTGGTCTGGAACTCCTGAGCTCAAGGAATCCTCCTGCCTCAGCCTCCCAAAGTGTTGGGATTACAGGTGTGAGCCATGGCATCCAGCCTTCTTTAATTTCTATCAGCAACGTTTTGTAGTTTTCATTGTACAAGTCTTTCATCTTGGTTAAGTTAATTTCTAACTATTTTATTATTTTTGATGCTATTGTCAATGGAATCACTTTTGTAATTTTTTTCTGATTGTTCATTGTTAGTGTACAGAAATGCAAGTTTTTTGTGGATGGCTTTGTATCCTGCTATTTTGCTAATTTTATTTGTTCTAATAGTGTTTTGTATAATCTTTAGGATTTTCTACATATAAAATCATACCATCTGTGAGTAGAGATAATTTTACTTCTTTTTTTCCAGTGTGAATGTCTTTTATTTCTTTTTTTGCCTCCTTGCTCTATTTGAATAGAAATGGCAAGAGCAGGAATTCTTGCCTTCTTCCTGATCTTATAGGAAAAGGTTTCATTCTTTCACCATTGAGTATATAGTGTTTGCTGTGGGTTTTTCATATCTGGCTTTTATTATGTTGAGGTAGTTTCCTTCTATTCCGAGTTCGTTGACTGTTTTTATCATGAAAGGTTGTTGAGCCGGGCGCGGTGGCTCAAGCCTGTAATCCCAGCACTTTGGGAGGCCGAGGCGGGTGGATCACGAGGTCAAGAGATCGAGACCATCCTGGTCAACATGGTGAAACCCCGTCTCTACTAAAAATACAAAACATTAGCTAGGCATGGTGGCGCGTGCCTGTAATCCCAGCTACTCAGGAGGTTGAGGCAGGAGAATTGCCTGAACCCGGGAGGCGGAGGTTGCGGTGAGCCGAGATCGCGCCATTGCACTCCAGTCTGGGTAACAAGAGTGAAACTCCATCTCAAAAAAAAAAAAAAAAAGAAAGGTTGTTGAATCTTGTCTCACGCATTTTCCGCATCAATTAAGATGATGTAAGGTTTTTTTCATTCTCTTATGAACCCCCAAAAATCTGAGACAGGTCTCAGTCATTTTAGGAAGTTTATTTTGCCAAAGTTAAGGACGTGTGCCTGGGAGACAGGTCTATGCCTTTCTCCGAACCTGATTTTTAGGGTTCCAAATTTAAAGGGGAAAGGGTGGGATATTGAAAAGTACACAATTTTCATGTAAGAGCAGGGTAGGGGGAAAATAGTCATTCATGCCTTCGTCTGGCTCAGTGAATTTGCATTTTTACGTGAGGTAATGTAGGTCGGCCGGGCGCGGTCGCTCATGCCTGTAATCCTAGCACTTTGGGAGGCCGAGGTGGGTGGATCACCTGAGGTCAGGAGTTCAAGACCAGCCTGGCCATCATGGTGAAACCCCATCTTTGGAAAAAAAAAAAAAGAGGTAATGTAGGGCAAGGGAGGATAAGATAACAAAGACAAATGGGGCAGGGGAACAATTGAATATGCATTTGTGCCAGGTGGGCAGAGGGGTGATGCCTCTGTAAAGATAAGCTATCAATTTACATTGCCATGATGAATTTTATCAGACATGCCTTAGGGTAAATGTCTTCGAGCTCACCAGGAATTTTCTTGTGGGCAACATATGAGGGAGGTGTGTAGCTGTTCATCTCGTAGCCATCTCATTTAGGAACCAAAATGGGGAGGCAGGTTTGCGCGACCCAGTTCCCAGCTTGACTTTTCCGTTTGGCTTAATGAGTTTGGGGTCCCAAGATTTCTTTTCCTTTCACACTGTGGTTAATGTAGTATATTACACTGACTTTCATATGCTGAACCATCCGTGTCTGTGTATTTCAATGACAAGGAGTGTTTGTTTCTGCTTCCTGCAGAGCAGAAAGACCATGGGTTTGAGGTGGCCTCCACTTCCCCTGAAGAGGAATCCCCTGGCAGTAACCCCGAGTCAGATGCCACCCCATTCCAGGAAGATGCGTGGACCTTTGACCAGGTGGATGCCGTATCTAGTTTGCCCACACCCAGTGACATCTTTGTGTCCTACTCTACTTTCCCAGGTGAGCCTATCAGAAGGGCTCATCCTCGCAGCCAGTGGTTCTTCCCATCTGCCCTAGAGGCAACTGTGTGGTGAAACAAAAGACCGGGTATGAGTTCTGGTTCTGTCTCTTGCCCCTCTGTGACCCTGAGCAAGTTACTTCTCTGTGAGCCTCGGCTCAGGCTGAGCGGGCAAGGGTGTGCGCTGCAAGGAGGCCGGCACCCTTGGATTCCTGTGCTCACTTACCTGTCCTCCGCCTGCCCCTGCCTCAGCCTTCGTATCTTTAGCATGGGAATAGGAATTGTGCCTCAGGGGTTGCCGTGGGGATTAAAGGTGGCTGGCATGTCACTGAGCACCGTGCCTGGCGTGTATGGGTGCAGCAGGTGATAGTTTCCTTCCTTTTTTTTTTTTTGAGATGGAGTATTGCTCTGTCACCCAGACTGGAGTGCAGTGGCATGATCTCAGCTCACTGCAGCCTCCACCTCCTGCGTTCAAGTGATTCTCCTGCCTCAGCTTCCTGTTTAGCTGGGATTATAGGTGTGCACCACCATGCCTGGCTAATTTTTGTATTTTTAGTAGAGATGGGGTTTCACCATGTTGGCCAGGCTAGTCTTGAACTCTCCTGACCTCAAGTGATCCGCCCACCTCGGCCTCCCAAAGTGCTGGGATTACAGGTGTGAGCCACTGTGCCTGGCAGTTTCCTTCCTTTCTTATCCTTTGGATGAGTCACTTGACTTTTCTAAGCCTTGGTTTCCTTGCTGGGAAAACGGGAATCATAGTCAGAGTCAGGAGATGGTCATGAGGGTGAAATAAGATCACAATTAGGGCAGCGCCTCAGGGACCAGGCTGTTCTTGCTGGATGTGTGCATGAGTCAAGGTCTGGAGGGCGCCCGAGCCGCATGCCTGGCCGGGGGTGGCTCTCCAGCAGTGTTCAGCCCTCCTCCTTCCAAAGGTTTTGTCTCCTGGAGGGAGCCCAAGAGAGGTTCCTGGTATGTGGAGACCCTGGACGACATCTTTGAGCACTGGGCTCACTCTGAAGACCTGCAGTCCCTGCTGCTCAGGGTGAGTGCTGCCTTCCTCTGCAAAGGAGAGGGGAGGCTGCTGAGGGGCAGCGTATCCTCCTGGGGCTGGGGATTCGGGGGTGAGCAGGGCAGGCCCAAACCAAGGGTAAAAGGTAGTAGACTCCTGCCTCTCAGCCTTGGCTTGCCACGAGAGTCGTCGCTTCTATGTCTCTTTATGAGAGGCATTCCTGCCTGTGGTGACATCTGCCCTTCATTCAAAGAGCTGCCTTCCTTGCCTTCTCCAGAGTCCGCAGGTTGACACCTCCTGCTCCTCCGCTGATGGAGCTGGTCCTCGGTGCTGGCACTATGGCTCTGTCCAGACCCTGAAGGCGGGTCATGGGCCCCTCCCCACACCCTGTAGCACAGTCTTCTACTCTTGACCCTCACGCATTGTGAACCCCTCCTCGCACATCCCCTTGTCAGGAGGCCCCAGTGACGAAACAGACAGGGAAGGGTGGCCTGAGGGTGAAAGTACTCCATGGAAACCCCACTCAGGCAGTTGCTTCTTCGGAGGGTTGCATAGCCTGTGGCTGCCTTGGGGAAGCAGCGTGTGTGGGCCTCTCCTGCTCTGCTCAGGTATTCATGCCATGGGGAGGCGCTGCAGGGCTGGGGCCACGCCTTGCTCCTACGGGAGGATTTGGCCCTGTGCTTTGCTGAGCAGTAGGAGGAGAAGACAAGTAGGCTGTGGGTGGCCCCTGGCACAGCTCCCAGCCACTGGGTGCCACGGCCTTGGGCAAGGGAGTCTGGGATAGCCTGGGGCCTTGCAGCATGGGGTGGGGACAATCAGTGCTAATAAGCAGTGCTTTCAGCTCTTGGTTCTGATCCCTTCATTTTTTTTCTTGCAGATAATTTCAGTCTGACCTGAACTTTATGAATTTAGAAATTTTGAATTTTGAGTTTTTTAAAGTTACAGTCGAGGTGCTTGTTCTTGAAGTCCCCCTGCTCAAAGAGGCTACAGTTTGAGCTTTTTTTTTTTTTTTTTTTTTTTTTTTGAGATGGAGTCTTGCTCTGTCCACCCAGGCTGGAGTGCAGTGGCATGATCTCAGCTCACTGCAACCTCCACCTCCCACCCAGGTTCAAGCGATTCTCTTGCCTCAGCCTCCTGTGTACTTGGGCCTACAGGCCCGTACCACCTTGCCCAGCTGATTTTTGTATTTTTAGTAGAGACAGGGTTTCACCATATTGGTCAGGCTGGTGTCAAACTCCTGACCTTGTGATCCACCTGCCTTGGCCTCCCAAAGTGCTGGGATTACAGGAGTGAGCCCCCGTGCCCAGCCCTTTTGTTTTATTTTGTTTTGAGGTGAAGTCTCACTCTTTCATCAGGGCTGGAGCAGTGGCATGATCTCAGCTCACTTCAACCTCCACCTCCCGGGTTCAAGCAATTCTGCCTCAGCCTCCTGAGTAGCTGGGATTACAGGCTTCCGCCACTATGCCCAGCTTATTTTTGGTATTTTTAGTACAGACGGGGTTTCATCATGTTGGCTAGGCTGGTCTCGAACTCCTGACCTCATGATTTGCCCACCTTGGCCTCCCAAAGTGCTGGGATTACAGATGTGAGCCACTGCACCTGGCCTGAGTTGTTTTTAAGGTGTGGATTGAATGGACATTCCCCCCAGCCCCTCTTGAATTCTTCCTTCAGTCCAGAGAACTGAACTCACAGACCTCTCCATGGTCATGTCTTACAGGTCGCTAATGCTGTTTCGGGGAAAGGGATTTATAAACAGATGCCTGGTTTCTTTAATTTCCTCCGGAAAAAACTTTTCTTTAAAACGTCATAAGGCCAGAGTCCTTCACCCTGCCTTTTCTTGCACTCCAAAGCCCTCCTACCTTAGGCCTGCAAGCGGCTGAGACCTGGACCTTTCCCGCAACTCAAGGGCTTTGCGGCCGGCACAGGGTCTGCTCTCTCTGCCAGTGACAGGCAGGCTCTTAGCAGCTTCCAGATTGGCGACAAGTGCTGAACAGTGGAGGAAGAGGGACAGATGAATGCTATGGATTGCATGTGGCCTCTTGAGCAGTGGCTGGTCTGGGGATAGTGACTGTGTCCTCTGTTCTCTGTAGAACAGGGATTAACCTCTGCGCTACTGACATGTGGGGCCAGGTCATCCTTTGCTGTGAGGTTGTCCTGTGTGTTGTGGGATGTTCAGCACTGTCCCTCGCCTCAATGCCAGTAACAATATCTCCCTGAGTGGTGCTCTTCAGGCGTTGCCAAATATGTGCTGGGCTATAAAACTTTCCTCACCTGGCACCCGGCACCCACTGATCTGTAGGGATTTTTGGCTACACACAAACCAGTATCTCTCATGGATCAGTGAGCTGAGGCCTACTGGAGTCTGAACAGCTGTGATCTGTGAATTCTAAATGAAGTTTTAAAAATTGTTAATTTTTCCTATATTGCATTAATCTTAAGAAATAAATCTTAGGCAAATGTGGACTCTCTTTTGCCTATTTCTTCCCTCGTTTTGCTCCAACTCTTTGTTCTTCCTTATAAAACAGACTTCTGCTTTTTAAAAAACATTTCCCCATGTTTTTTGGGGGTCTCACTGTATTGCCCAGGCTGACCTCAAACTCCTGGGCTCAAGTGATCCTCCCAAGTAGTTCTAACTACGGGCATGCATCATTGCACCCAGCCCCATTTCTCCATGTCTTATTTCACTTGATCCCTATCCCATCCCAGGAAGGCAATAAGGGTGAGAACCTTGTGCTCAGGGAGGCTAGGTCTCTTGTCCAAGGTAACAGTTATCCAGAGAAACGACCTGGCTGGAACCTGGGTCTCCTGAATCCCAGCCATGCCTCCCATGTGCCTTGCTTGCCGAAGCACCCCCTGAGTGTAGTATGACCGTGCTGTGCAATAGTGACACGTTGGGCTTCCCCAGAAGGCCCCACCCTGAGGTCTTTTAAGCTATCCTTATGCCAGCCTATTTCTTGTTCTTTGGTCTTTTCTTCTTGGAGACAGGGTCTCACTCTGTCATGCAGGCTGGAGTGCAATGATGCAATCCGGGCTTACTTCAGTCTCCTGAGCCCAAGCGATCCTCCCACCTCAGCCTCCTGAGTATCTGGGACTACAGGTGTGCACCACCTCACCCAGTTAATTTTTGTACTTTTAGTACAGACAGGGTTATGTCATGTTACTCAGGCTGGTCTTGAACTCCTGAACCTAAGATCTGCCTGCCTTAGCCTCCCAGAGTGCAGGGATTACAGGCTTGAGCCATTGCACCTGACCTATTTCTGGTTTTTAGGGCCCTGGATGTTAGGGTGAATTGCTAAATGAATAATGATGATAATAAAATTCTCATCAAGGTGTGATTTGCATAGTTGTCACTTTATATGATACTGTTTTCCTTCTGTGATGTTTCCAAGTCTGAAATAGTCCCAGGGACTTCTTTTGATTAGTTATTTGCAATCACCTGCAGGATACAAACAAGAAGATCGTCAGGTTCACCTAGCCACAGAGCTGTGAGGCTGTTCCCATCTTTATCCTCCTGGCTAAGCTATTCACATGAGTCACAGGCAGCCCACACTGCAGTAGCTCCTGCCGGAGGAGTTCTGATGATGTTTCGGAAAAAAAGACGTGATCACAGCTTTTCGTTGAACTGTTAGAATCTTCCTGTAAAGGGGGCCTTAGACAGGTGTGGCCTTCAGGGTAGGGGCCTTTGAACCCCTAAAAATTACATGCCAAATGTGTGGATGGCATATATTTAGATTTCATTTGTTTCTCAAATCAAAACTGCTGTTTGCAAGGCAGTTATGCGCTGTGGTTGGGGCTATAACTATTTCCAGAGGCTGTTGATCTGTGTCTTTTTTTTTTTTTTTTTTTTTGAGGATGGAGTCTTGCTCTGTTGCCCAGGCTGAAGTGCAGTGGCTTGATCGCAGCTCACAGCAATCTCTGCCTCCCAGGTTCAAGTGATTCTCCTGCGTCAGCCTCCCAAGTATCTGAGATTACAGGCGCACACCACCATGCCTGGCTGATTTTTTTTGCATTTTTAGGGGTTTTCCCATGTTGGCCAGGCTGGTCTCAAACTGCTGACCTCAAGTGATCCACTCTCCTCAGCTTCCCAAAGTGCTGGGATTACAGGCATGAGCCACAGCGCCTGGCCTGTTAAACATTTTAGTTTGCCAATTTCATGATTCAGTGCTGTGAACTGCAGGAGATCCAGCTGCTACAGCATAAATACTTAGACCAGTGTGCAAGAATTATGTCCAAAGATGTTCACTGCACAATGTAAGAGTGAAAAACAGGAAACACGAAGGCTTCATTAATTATATTCAAACTATGGAATACTGTTTAGCTGTTCAGAAGAATAACACGAATGTACTGACATGTAAGATGTGATAATGTGTTAAGGGAAAAAAAGCTGCAGAACAGTTTAAAGACTCAGATCTCAAGTTTTGGTTAAAAGACAGTGTATATCTATATATAGATAGATATGCACATAAAGTTGAGAAGACCACACACTGAGCTGTTAACAATGATTGGCGGGGCACAGTGGCTCATGCTTATAATTCCAGCACTTCGGGAGGCTGAGGCAGGCGGATCACCTGAGGTCAGGAGTTCGAGACAAGCCCAGGCTAACATGGTGAAACCCTGTCTCTTCTAAAAATACAAAAATTAGCTGGACGTGGTGGTGCGTGCCTGTAATCCCAGCTACTCGGGTGGCTGAGGCAGGAGAATCACTTGAACCCGAGAGGTGGAGGTTGCAGTGAGCCAAGCTCGAGCCACTGCACTCCAGCCTGGCAACAGAATGAGACTCTGAAAAAAAAACCCCAAAACAATGATTACCTCTGGAGAGTGGGATTGGAGATGTAAAATGAGGGGAGACTTCCACTTTTTTTACTTGATACACTCTTATATTCTTTTAATATTTTTACAAAGAGTATGTGTTACCTTGTGGGAAAAAAAAGCCAAGGATTGCTGAAGGTTCATGTGTGGCTGTCATTCAATGGACATTTGTTGAAAGGACGAGTGCCCCGGGCCACCTGTCTCCTCTGCTTCTCTGCCCTTATCTTTTGTTGGCACTTCCTGACCTTGGCTTGTCACCTGTCTGGGTTTATCCAGGCAGGTACTCTCAGGCACCCCCAGGGCTCTAGTGGTATGTGACTCCAGGCTGCACACAGTGTGTCCCTGGGTTGGGGCCACTGCAAGATTTCACTAGCCCCTCTGCAGCTGCCAGGGGCAGCCCCCACCCAAGGACAGCTGGTTGCTTGGCTCTCCCACTTCTGAAACCCATTACCAGGCATCTGTGCCTGTCCCGACTGCTCTCCCAGGAACACAGGGCCTCTGCCCAGCTGCCTTGCGAGGCATGCTGCCCCACGGATCCCTGCTACCATCTGGCCATGCTTTGGGATCTGGCCTGCTCTGTTGGGCTTGTGTCTGTTGCTGGGAACAGCTGATGCTGTGAACAGCTGAGGCTGGGACAACAAATTGGGACAATTGTCCCTGCCCCTGCTTCAGGTCCCCAGGGTGCTGCCAGGACCAGCTGGACAGTGACTCCTACAGCAGCTGGGGCTGGAAAAGGGTCTTAGGATTTGGCTGGGAAAGGCCCCTAAGCAGCCTTTCGCCCAGTCTCAGGCCAGGCTCCTTTGACATGCGGGTGGTACCAATTCATATCTCTCTCTCTCTCTCTCTCTCTCTCCATATATATATATATATGGCACCAATTAATGACTAATGGCTACTGTCTTTTTGATTTTCCAATTTTCTCCAACAAACTTTTTTGGATTCTCTGTCTGTGACCACTTGATGGCAAAAAGATGCCAGCAGACAGACAAATGAACAAGGAGCTGGCAAGAATCAATGGGAAAACTTGAAAGCGGCCACCTGCTTATTTTGACAATTTCGTTTTCCTCCTGTGACCACATGCTCATGGCTGCAGTTTCATATTTGGTTTTATAAGTGTCAGATTAATTCAGTTTGACACTTCTCTGCAAATTAAACTTAGTGAAGTCAGATGCCAGCTTTCCCCTTCTTTGGGGTCTCTGCCACAAATACCGCAACTCCCATTTGTTCTAGCGCCTAAAAATGTTGAGGAGTCCTGGTCTAGTTCAAGTCCCATTTTACAGGAGAGCAAACCGAGGTAGTCCATAATCAGCACAGAGGGTCCTCTTCCCTCCCAGCATCCCTTACCAGGCATGGTGGTTCCTCTGCCCTCTCCCGGGCACCCCTTTCTTGTGACAGGGTTTCCTGTTCTGGCTGCTTTCACCTACTGCTGCGTGTATGCATGGCTGCTCCTTAATATTGATGCCAGCTATTACTGTCATTATTTTCAGAGACAGAGTCTTGCTATGCCGCCCAGGCTAGAGTGGTGTGACCTTGATTCACTGTAATCTTGGCCTCGGGGGCCCAAGCGATCCTTCCACCCAAGCCTCCCAAGTAGCTGAGACTACAGGCACACACTACCATGCCTGGCTTATTTTTATTTTTGAGATGGAGTTTTGCTCTTGTTGCACAGGCTGGAGTGCAGTGGTGCGATCTCGGCTCACTGCAACCTCTGCCTCTGGGTTCAAGCAATTCTCCTGCCTCAGCCTCCTGGGTAGCTGGGATTACAGGCATGCACCACCACACCAGCTAATTTTGTATTTTTAGTAGAGACAGGGTTTCTCCATGTTGGTCAGGCTGGTCTCGAACTCCCAACCTCAGGTGATCTGCCCACCTTGGCCTCCCAAAGTGCTGGGATTACAGGGGTGAGTCACTGCACCCAGCCATGTCTGACTAACTTGAAAATTTTTTTTTGTTAAGACAGAGTCTTGCCATGTTGCCCAGGCTGGTCTTGAACTCCTGGGCTCAAGCAATCTTCCCTCCTTGGCCTCCCAAAGTACTGTGATTACAGGTGTGAGCCACGGCACCTGGACTTTTGTTTTTAATAAATAATTTTAATGCTTATTGTTGTAAACAAATGTGTGTTCATTGTTAAAAAAAAAAAATGAGTTAGTGTGGAAGCTCAGAGGAGACAACTCTTTGAGTTTACATTTATAAGAATGGGGGACCAACTCAGCTTTATTTGCCTGGGATGGTCCCAGTGTAAAACAGGTAGCCCTACATCCTGGAAAACCTCTCAGCCCTGGGCAAACTGGGATGGTTGGTCACCTTACAGAATAGCTGGAGGACCCTCCAGGGAGGAAGTTCCATAATTAATACTATGGGGGGTGGGTCTCAAAGTATCAGGTTTGGGACTTTGCAGATAAACATAACCATTTATAGCACTGGATGGTAGAGTCTGGGCCACATACAGATGTACAAAAATAAAATCACCATTTCTATGGAAGCCACTCATTTCTTTTTAAACGGAGTTTTACTTTTCTTGCTCAGGCTGGAGTGCAGTGGTGCAATCTCGGCTCACTGCTACCTGCCACCTCCATCTCCCAGGTTCAAGGGATTCTCCTGCGTCAGCCTCCTAAGTAGCTGGGATTACAGGTGTGCACTACCATGCCTGGCTA